AAGTAAAAGATTAATTAATATTTGAAATTGGAAGTCAAGCGAAAGGCTTGGCAGATTTTAACCGGTTACATAGTGAAAAGGTCTAGAATTAGTGCTTGCTTACACCTCCACCCATTTCATCTACGCAGGAAATTAGCTTTCCAACAAATGCTAAACGATAGCTAATGTTAGTCCCATTGGTCTAAGAAAAACCGTCTCATCAAGTTCAGGCATTCAAATATGGCCCATTTTGCAGACCGACGTGCAGTTTGAGACTAGAAACACGAGCTGTCGAGCAGAGGTGGCCGACTGACGGTCTGCATCAACAGGAGGTCTAACGAGAGGCAGAGACGCATTTGGGGTAATTTAAGACATGCATGTGCGCACACAGCCTCGTTGAGGGATGAATAAGAACATCTGCGACTGTGAATAAACAAGTCTTCTGCATGTCGCAGAACTAGAACCAGCTCCTCCTTCGCCTTCTCCACCCTTCCATAACTCACACACAGGGAATACCGCCCCTCACTGTTGGAAATCCAAATCCGCCACATTTTGCGCTCTCGAATTAAACCTGCCTATGAGGTTTTGCAGTAGGCCACAAATTTCCGCGTCTGGAACCTCTCCAACTGCACTGATCCAGGGAGGAGAGATTGAGAAACCTTTCCTGATATTATCGCTATTACCTAGACAAACGAATCTTTTCTCTACAGCCTTCACGCAATACACGCATTACACTAACGACATAGAAATAGAGGTTTTGCTTCAAAACATGTAAATTATGCAAGCGCTGTGCGCTGACTGCGCAGCTGAAGGTTAAGCGTGCGGGAGAAATGCTACTTGGGCCTTTATGTGAGCGAGGAGCCGACACCACATGTGCTGCCGAGGGCTTGAACATGCGATAATGAATTATCCCAGTTTGATAAATTACGCAAATAGGAGCTCCTTATTTGAACACTGCCCTCGTCCGAATGCTTGCGTTTCTTCCAACGCTGCATTGTTAGCGATGGCCAGCTTTGTAGTGGGTGGGATTTGCCGATTTCGAGTTGTTATTTAGTCACATTTTTTAGGGTGCTTTCACATTGGAGGATAAGGAAGATGAAAAATTAATGTCAACCCTACTAACAAGACCACGGAGTTCCAGCTGCAACATTTATACGGAGATCGAAATGTATATGCAAATTGTAACACATCAAGATGATTGTCAAGCATAAATTTACTTCAAGTGGTCACTTCGCATTGTTTCTTTAGGTTGATATAGGTTTGGGCAAATTTGATTGTTTGAAGTCTACTTTGGATAAGTCCTACATCTAATTGGATGGCAGGGTACTGAAGCACTGCACCACAAGCCTTCTGAGATTATCAAGTTAAAAGAACAAGCAGGCTAGTATGCAATACTGACACACCATCAAGAGCCGAATCACGAAGGAGATCTTTAAAGGACTCATCATATCCGAAGACCTCCACCGCGGAGACTCGGATGGAGAAGCGCGTTTTAGTGGCCTCCTTCTGTTCCTCCACCAGATGGAAGAGCCAGGCGATGGCACAAGGAATAACACCCACCGACGTCACCGAGGCATCCGAGCCCAACATCGTCCGTGATTTGGCTGCATTAAATATTAATCGCATTGATATCAATTTACGTAGCAATCGAAAAGGCTGATGCTTGGAATTTCAATCACTCCTTTAATACACTTTATGAGTAAAAACCGAACCAATTAGTTCAAACCGAAACATAAGTGACTCATTGCAAATAATCATAAATAATCTTAATATTCGATAAATATAAGGACGATAATAAGGGCCCCTGAACTTATCAGAAGACTTTTATACTGAATACTAACAAAGAGGCTCGATGTGTCCGACCTTCCTTTTGGCCATCACTAACATGTCTAATTTTGCTTTAAGATGGTACAAAACATTTTATTCCTACAAGGTCGTCAGTGTCACCGTTTCCACTACTTTACACTGTTTTCGTAACCGTTGCCGCAACCACCGACATCACCGGTGTGTTGTGGAAGAAAGGAAGAGAAGGACGCCACAAATTGCAAGACGGGATGTGCAACACCAACTATGTAGCCAACTATTACAGGAGATCAGGTGTGCGACCACGTTCAGATAGCATCTCGCTTGTTTTCATTATAAATTCTCTAGCGTACGCTCAAGATCGTGACGGTAGTGAGAATAGTGGTGGAGGCAGCTAACGTCGGTTGTGCAAGGAGACACCGATGCTTCGGAGAAAGGGAAACTATTGTTTTTGACAATGTCGGTACAAAATAAGGGAAGGTTTTGGCATCAAAGGCAAAAGGAAACAAACAATTTTTAAATTACCACCTCCTTGGAAGGCTTTCGAAAAGGAATAAAAAGAGTTTCGTTGGGAAAGGATAGTTAGTTATATAGGCAAAAAGACAGTTCCGATTACCTAATTTTCATTCGTTTGAAATATAAGGCTTCATGATACATTTCTCATTCCTGTGTGATGCAAATGACAGTTGTGGTGGCATTCCATCCCAGGCCTAAGCCTTTATTTCAACGAATACAATAAGCAGCATGCAGCCAGGATTGTGGTAAGAAAACAACAAAAGACTACTGCGGATTGCTGGAACCTGTGACATTTTTCAGTGATCCTCAATCAACGCATGTGCCCGGGACGCCCAAATCAACCAAGTGAGGTCTTAAGAAATCGCAGCATAATGTTTATTTGCTCATAAACTTCAGGTCCTAATAGTGCCTGTTTCATAAATGGCCTTGCAGTTTTTGGTGCACCCTTTCAACCCGTTCGTTCATTGCCCCGATGATTGTTGGCATTCTCAGCAATACCAACTCAAGCAAACAGCACACGACACGTTTGCGAACATCATCATGCTCGTACGTATGTAATTTATGACAGTAGAAGCAAAAACTATTCGACAGTACTATCACAATGCTTCAAGGTTTCCGCGGAAGCGAAAGAGAGACCACCTGGGAAACCGCCAAAAATGGAAAGGATGGTGGTACACCGACTGGAGCAAAGGTAATGTGGGTATTACCTGTGACTTCTTGTCTGACTCAACCTAAGTCACACGAGCAGAATTAGTGTAAGC